TCCCACAATGTAACTACTTTAAAAATTAGCAACCTGTGTTTCCCCAAAAAAAGTAACTACAATAAATAGGTACAACACTGGTGGTGTCCCACAATGTAACTATCATATAGAATAATGTAGCAACACTGCTGGTGTTCCCACAATGTAACTTCATATAGAATAGTGTAGCAACACTGCTGGTTTCCCACAATGTAACTATCATATAGAATAGTGTAGCAACACTGCTGGTGTTCCCACAATGTAACTATCATATAGAATAGTGTAGCAACACTGCTGGTGTTCCCACAATGTAACTATCATATAGAATAATGTAGCAACACTGTACGTGTTCCCACAATGAAAACAAATCATATAGAATAATGTAGCAACACTGTGCGTGTTCCCACAATGTAACTTTCATATAGAATAATGTAGCAACACTGTACGTGTTCCCACAATGTAACTATCATATAGAATAATGTAGCAACACTGTGCGTGTTCCCACAATGTAACTATCATATAGAATAATGTAGCAACACTGTACGTGTTCCCACAATGTAACTATCATATAGAATAATGTAGCAACACTGTGCGTGTTCCCACAATCTAACTATCATATATAATAGTGTAGCAACACTGCTGGTGTTCCCACAATGTAACTATCGTGTAAAATAGTTTGTCCAGATACCTTTCAAATACATAATTATATTAAAAAAAAAAACTCTCACACACACTGCGATCTCTGGATTCCTTGCTTCGTGTCAGTCGTGAGGAGGAGTCAGAGATTCAGACTGAAAATTGTCTGTTTTAATATTCTTCCTATATTTAGATGAACCATGGTATATTTTTTTTTTTTTAGTATTTCTAAGCAGCGAGATGTTCCACCGCCTCATCTGCAGAATTCTGTGAATGCCAGTCGATTTTCTTATATAGAATTTTTCAGTTCACGTTGTTCTTGTTATTCACCCCAAACACAAATCCGTACCGGACCGAAACGTCGCTGTAAGCTTTTATTTCCTGTGTTGGGGTTATTTTGGTATTGTTCCAGTCATTGTATTGTGCCTTTTTGTTCCTTGTTATTATTTGTATATTAAGTTCTTCAAGAATGTCAGTCTTTTCTAAGTCTGCTGCATCTCTGCGGTACTCAAAACTAACGCTAGAATTCATATTGAAGGGTACTGAGGCCTTGAGAACTAGATGGTTATAACTATGACCATAATTTTTAAAGGGATGGACCGGTAAACCAGCGGAAGGCCTCGGTCAGATGACCAGAAGCTCCTGTTGTGGGTCATCAACTACATACGTAAGACTCGCGTCAGGAAACACTTTTGTTACCTGACGAACCTTACCTAATGGAGGCCTTTACATCATATGAATGAATTTTTTTATGATTAAACAAACCGTGGACCTGGGTCTAAGGTGTGTGTGGTTCTGCAGAGCCGACACGGCCATCAATAATCTTTCTAAATCAGAGGGTCGAGGGAGGCAAGCTTCGCAGAACTAATCACACAGCAGTTACCCCTAAAGAGGCACCTAAGTTCCCCCGTCTTCTAATACACTGTTTATTTTCCCACTATAATCTAAACCTTGTCCATAATTATTATCATATTTGCTTTATGTCGTAAGATTAAGTCCAGGATCTTTACTTAAGTCATGGTATAACTTAACAAATCTTCGACCGAAGCTCAGATCTCTACAATACAATTGTCATCAAAGATTTAAGTTATACCATAAATTAAGTAAAGATTCTGGACTTTACCTTGCGAAACAAAGGAAATGTGACAGTAGTTATGGACAAGGTAGGTTATAGTGGAAAAATAAACAGTGTGTTAGAAGACGGATTAAAACTCTCAACAAAAATCCTTGACAAAGAAAATCGTTAGATATTTTTAAGACATCCAGATTTTTCACTGCAATGTTAGTGTGTTGTAAAGGGTTTAGAAAACGAAAAAATTGAAGAATGAGATACTTGATCAATATTTGACAATCTTTATTGAGGAAATGTTTCTCCAGTCAGTGGTTTCTTCAGTCCATTACAGAAAGGAACGGAAGAAGTTTAGGAGGAGTTTGAGGTAATCAGTCCCATAGTCTGGAATCACAATGTGTAAGTTTATTCAGTTACAGGTACACATAAATACAATTACATACATCATTATACATAGCAGCAGATTACCTAAGATGACCCAAAAAAAAGGTCAGACAAAGTGGCTTTGCAAATGGTTCACATCGGACCGTAACGTCGTCGTAAGCTTCTGTCTCTTATTCTTAATAAAAAATATAAAATATATAGAAAAATTACCCTTCCATTCAGCCGACCATGACATTCTAATTGATTCCATATCCACTATAATCTAGAGGCCAGTGTAATTACATTGTGTGGAAGAGAGTTAAACAAGTTAAACAAGGTCTCTAGTAACACGTTGGTTCCAGCTCCTCACTTCCCCGTCTCATACACCCAGTACGTAAGTTTTCAAGGGGAAACTGAAGCATTACTTCCTCACCTTCGTGAGTGTCGCAATGAACACAAATACTACGTGTGTTTCCATTCCGTAGGGGCAGCGTATTAGTATTAGTAATCAATAATGCTGTTGAGTTTTAGGTATGTTTGACCTACTTATGTGCGTATTATGCATATAAAGTTATAAATAAAATATACCTGGAGAGGGTTTGGGGGTCAACGCCCCCATGGCCCGGTCTGTGACAAGGCCTCATGGTGGATCAGGGCCTGATCAAACAGGCTGTTATGTGGAATAAGTCTTCATGAAGCTCTACACAGGGCGGAACGTAGTCCTAATAAGAGACTTTTCTGCAATTTGTGCCCTTGTTTTTAATCAGGCTGTGATTATGAGGCCAGCAGGCCGCTAACAGCAACAGTCTGATTGACCAGACAATCAATAAGGAGATGGTAAGACACATGGGCAGCATCTAGGTATCTTTATTTTATTCTGAAACGTTTCGCCTACACAGTAGGTTTTCTTCAGTCGAATACAGAGGAGGCAGCAGAAGTATAGAGATGTATCAGTCCATCACCCTTGAAGAAGTAGTTTTGAGGTGGTCAGTCCCTCGCCTGGATAAGACTTCTGTTCCATAGTCGGAGAGGGACAGCAAGTGTAAGGTGACTAACACCCAGGTACCTACTTACTGCTAAGTGAACAGGGACAGCAGACATCCGTTTCCACCCGTGCCGGGGATTGAACACCGGAGGCGAGCGCGTTGCCAACCGAGCCATGGTATCCTTTAATGTACTTTTGTGCTATAAGTAGCAAATTAATAGAGTAATTACATATGCTGTAAGGAAAGAAGTCCAGCTAAATCAAATTTGCTGTAACAGAACTTCTCGCTGATAAGTCATGATATAATATTCCAGACTGGGACGGTATTTATGTTCGTCAGGAACCACCCTTAATGGACTGGTTAATTGGGCTGGTTAATTGGGATGGTTAATTGGGATGGTTAATTGGGATGGTTAATTGGGATGGTTAACTGGGCTGGTTAATTGGGATGGTTAACTGGGCTGGTTAATTGGGATGGTTAACTGGGCTGGTTAACTGGGCTGGTTAATTGGGCTGGTTAATTGGGCTGGTTAATTGGGCTGGTTAATTGGGATGGTTACGTGGCTGGTTAATTGGATGGTTAACTGGCTGGTTAATTGGGATGGTTAACTGGCTGGTTAATTGGGATGGTTAACTGGGCTGGTTAATTGGGATGGTTTAACTGGGCTGGTTAATTGGGATGGTTAACTGGATGGTTAATTGGGATGGTTAACTGGGCTGGTTAATTGGGCTTAAAGCCTATCGAAACAATTGTTTTATTAAACATGAATATCACCTGCTCACCGTCACTCAAAAATACTTCACCCCCCTAAAAAAGGGGGGGAATTATTAAAGTAAACAGCCAGCAATATATAAAAACATTCAACGTATACAATATATATATAAATAAATATATCGTGCCCAATAGGTAAAATTGGTCAATTAGAAAGAACTTATTTAAAAATTAAGTCCTTCTCAAATTTTCTCTAATACGTTTAAAGATATTTTTTTCGTTTATGTTAGCCAGCAGTAACACCTGGTTGATCAGACCTGATCCACCATGAGGCCATGGTCTCAGATCGGCCGAGGGGCGTTGACCCCCGAAGCCCACTCCAGGTGATGTAAAAATTAATATTTTTGTACCAAAAGAATCTTAGAAAACTTACCTGACCTTATTATAACAAGCGCAATTTAATTTAGCCTAATCCAACGAAATATATTTTAGATACGTTTACAATAATCTAATAATAAACAAACACATTGAAATATTTTTTTCGTTAAGTTCAGAATGATTTTTGCAAAATTATTGCATACACAAATTTTCGCTTGTCTTATTAGGCAAGAAGAGCGTTGCTATTTAAGCCAAAATCGTAAGTTTTTATCTATTCGGCAATATATATATATATATATTATATATATATTATATATATATATATATATATATAATATATATATATATATATATATATATATATATAATATATATATATATATATTATATAATATATTTATATGTTTTTAACGTCGTGGCTACAGTGACCTGTGGAAAAGTATCTATTTGCATATGTAATATTTATTTTCTGTACGTGTGGTGGCCAACGAGGTTGTTACTGCTGGGTCATGTCAGATGATGACCTCCTGGAAGGAACGACCTTGCTTCTCCTACAAGACTTTCCCTGACCTAGGTACGTCAGGCCCCTGCGTCACATTATATATATGACAGTGTGACCAGACCTCATCATAGTTCCAGCTTCTCCGTCAGCATGGACAACATTTTCATCTGCTTCCTCGGTACGTCCCCGCCATCAGCGTCTCTCTGGTATGATAATTAGTTTAGGACGTCCGTAACTGAATCATCATCGAATGTTTATAAATGTTCTGAGGGCAAGAGGGGTTGGTCAATATACATCTTACTATACAGAATATTGTCGTTTATTCAGTAAGTTAGGCACAGGTATACATAAAATCAAATATCATAACAATGTGTAAACTACCAAGGATAAGTCCTGGATAACCAAAAACAATACTCCATCACGACCATCACTTGTCTCATAGTGTCCTAGTACTTTTACTTTGCCTTCACGTGTAGTGGGTAACTTAGCATCATGTTTCACGATGAGTTCTTTCTTCTTCACTGGCTGGGTCGTAAAGCTACAGGAAGGCGTCAGTCATATCACCAAAAGTTCCACAGTCAGTTGAATATCTTTATGCACACCATACCCATCCTATGTGGGCGCTAGTCAAAAATAGTTACAGAGGTACATAATGGGTCCAGGGACACAAGGGTGAGTTTTGACATTACTAAGATCCAGGTCAGCAGAAATTTCCATGGTTCTCCTGAGAAATTACCACCACAATGCTTGTAAGACATCCATAAAACCTTCACTTTCTATGACAGAGACTTGATCTCTTGTTAAAATATCATTCGGTGAAATAATTTAACATGTCACTGAATAATGTTATAATTTATGTGACGTCTTACATTTCAAATAATTTGTAATGTATGTATGCATGGATGGAATAAATGTATGTATGTATATATATATATATATATATATATATATATATATATATATATATATATAAATATATATATATATATATATATATATATAAATATACCACCTCTAGAACTGTCATGGGGACCCTCACCTCAGAGAAAAGAATAAACTGTGCTTCAGGGAAAACTCAAGATTCTCCCTGAAGCTGTTTGAGAATTTTCTCCTACCACCCCCTATATTATGTATAAATATTTTATTTAAAGACAAAATACATTGACGAAACATTCACAAAAATATGATACAAGTAAAACAACATAGGTAACTCAGAGCTACATCTCGAATACTTCGTCCAGCTCCCCTGCGTGGGCCGCGTGCCCAGAATGCTGCAGGCATTTCCTCTCTGGATCGCAACACTGATCTCTGAAAGAGGAAGCTGGTCGCCCTAGTGTCCTTGGTTTCTATGATGACTTTTCACCCAGCTCTTTGAGGAACTTTAGAGCACACTTGCCCCATGCTCCAAGGGTCTCCGACCCTATTGGAATGAAGTTGTAGCAAGGGGGAAGGTCTTCATATTTTCGGATCTTCTGGGTCTCCCTGTGGCTGGCAGCTCCACCCCCTTCCACTACAGAGTATGGCAAGTAGGTGTCTGCCAATGTGGCAGCACAGGTGTAGTCCCAGGCAATCTGCTTTCCATCCTTCCAGGGTAGCATAGTGGCTCCATCAGGACGCTTTTGACTTCCATCAGACCTCTGTACTTGGGGTTCCCGTTGAGCTGGGCAACGGGCTGTGGCGAGGCTTCTCTTTATTATGTCATTGATCTCCTCATGTCTGGCATACTTCCCTTCTGCTGTGTGACACACGAGACCATGGAGTCCGAATTGATCAGCTGTCGCCCTGCCGCAAATACACCTATGTTCGGTGAGGATGGGGGCGGCTAGGCGAAGAGCAACACCAATCCGAATGGCCTGTGGGTCGAGACGGGTGCCCAGGGAGGAATTGGGAACAGCTAACAGGAAATCTCCTGAGTGTGGTGCCTTCACTGCCAGGAGACGAGCTTTGTTCTTTCCTGAAGCATTGGAGAGCATTGTGTTGGCGATTTTTTCATGATCGGTTTGTCCCAGTGGGACTGTTTGTGCTGTTTGGGAGGAGCTGGTCTACTGGAGGAGTCTGTAAGGGTGTCCCACCGAATTGCTGCTTCAGTAAACCTGGGTCTTGAGCTCCTACCAAGTCTCTCAAGCGTTCGGGCACTATCTTCTTGACTAATGCACTGGAAGCCAAACACGAAGACAGAAAAGCAGGTAAAGCAACATGCGTTGCTTTACGCACCCCTATACCTCCCAGTCGCACTGGGAGGGTTGCCTGATCCCATTGCTCATCCTCTAGTGACAGGTTCAGTGCCTTCTTAAAAGTTGATCTCGGGTGTGCGTCATATTCATCGAGTGTTGGGTTGTCAAAAGAGGGTGCACACCTCAAGAAGTAAGTGAGTCTTGGCATAGTAAGACACCTTGTGAGGAGATACAGAGCATCATGGGCATCAAGATCGCTTATTCTCTCCTCCATTCTCATAAGGTCATTCAATTTGTCCCTGAGGACAGTGTCGATGGCCTGATGACCCAGCGGTGCCCCGAAGAGGGTACTGTTGGACGGAGTTGTAGTTGAGATTTCCGGGAGGATTCTTCGCACAGCATTTATGTGACGTCTTACATTTCAAATAATTTGTAATGTATGTATGCATGGATGGAATAAATGTATGTATGTATATATATATATATATATATATATATATATATATATATATATATATATATATATATATATATATATAAAATCTTTCTTTCAACACACCGGCCGTATCCACCGAGGCGGGGTGGCCCAAAAGGAAAAACGAAAGTTTCTCCTTTTACATTTAGTAATATATACAGGAGAAGAGGTTACTAGCCCTTGCTCCCGGCATTTTAGTTGCCTCTTACAACACGCATGGCTTACGGAGGAAGAATTCTGTTCCACTTCCCCATGGAGATAAGAGGAAATAAACAAGAATAAGAACTAGAAAGAAAATAGAAGAAAACCCAGAGGGGTGGTATATATGTGCTTGTACTTGTATGTGTAGTGTGACCTAAGTGTAAGTAGAAGTAGCAAGACGTACCTGAAATCTTGCATGTTCATGAGACAGAAAAAAGGACACCAGCAATCCTACCATCCTACGATGGTAGTACCTCCCTGGGCGGTTGCTGTCTACCAACCTACTACCTACATATATATATATATATATATATATATATATATATATATATATATATATATATATATATATATATATATATATGGGAAACCACTTACTAACGTTCAAGAAATGCTAAAATATTTCATTCACAAAAACATATCAAAAATTATACATAATCACCCTAACTTTTCCTACTGTAAACAAGCCATTATGCATTATGTTACTGTAACAGCAGCTGGCCAGTAGCTAATAGGCAAGTGTGTGTGTGTGTGAGTAACATAGTGAAAATATCTGTAACATGTAGATTTTTTCTTGTAAGTAGTTCATCACTGCTATACTTACTTTAGCTAACAAAGCACTGGGGGCCCCGGCCCCAGGACACCCCTTACGTGCCTCGGTAATTTTGTGGCTACCGCCTACAGGATGCATAATATACCTATCATAGTAATTAACTGGCTGACGTGAGTACATTTAAAATGTTTGTTATGTGTAGTTGCAGTAGTGAGCGCCAACAGGCTCCCTAGTGACGCACCTTCCACCAACTATGGTGTGTCCCCTACCAACGGCGGATACTCCTACGGAGATCAACAAGGATCTGCCTCCTCCTTGGACACGGCTCTGGAGACTGACCCCAGAGCTGCCCTGACCGCCAGCATCCCCGGGGGCGGTACCCCAGGCCAGGACTACCCTATCCTAGCTTCTGTCCCCAACACTGGCTTCTCCTGCGATGCTCAGGAGTTTCCGGGTTACTTCGCTGACATCGCTGAGGAGGCTGGCTGTCAGGTCTTCCACATCTGTCAGTTCGACGGCCGCCATGACTCCTTCCTGTGTCCCAACGGCACTGTCTTCAACCAGCAGTACTTCGTGTGTGACTGGTGGTTCAACGTAGACTGCGCCACCTCTGAGCAGTTCTTCCATCTGAACGCTCAAATTGGCAAGAATCCAGAGGACAGCACAGCCGAGGCCTCTGTCCAGTCCCTGTCTACGGCCTATGGCGCCCCAGCCGCCGCGTCTGATACCTTACTCTCATCGGCTTATGGCCCCCAGGAAGCCCAGGCGTCAGCTCAAGCCCCTAGCACACTTTACAACACTCCTGCTAGGCTCTGAAAGGTTCCACTCTGTTGCTGTTGTGACCAACAGCCTCTGCTACCATAACCTCTCCAGACCTCTTAGAATCAAATCAATTGAAAAAATACATATCTATAAAAAAATATTATTTATAATTAATAAAGTACTTAAGGAATGATATTTGTGTATTAATCACTTAAATAAAAAAAATATTTTAATCATAATCCAGGCTAGTGGGCAACCACTGATTAAGACCCGTGTTACGAGGCGGACGAGATCACCACCGCAACTTTTTTGCCCTGTTAGAAATTGTTATATATATATATATATATATAATATATATATATATATATATATATATATATTATATATATAATATAATTATATATATATATATATATATATATCAGATCACTTTTTAGTTGTAGCTACACTGAGAGTAAAAGGTAGATGGGATACAAGGAGAATAGAAGCATCAGGGAAGAGAGAGGTGAAGGTTTATAAACTAAAAGAGGAGGCAGTTAGGGTAAGATATAACAGCTATTGGAGGATAGATGGGCTAATGAGAGCATAGGCAATGGGGGCGAAGAGGTATAGTGTAGGTTTAAAAATGTAGTGTTAGAGTGTTCAGCAGAAGTTTGTGGTTACAGGAAAGTGGGTGCGGGAGGGAAGAGGAGCGATTGGTGGAATGATGATGTAAAGAGAGTAGTAGGGGAGGAAAAGTTAGCATCTGAGAAGTTTTTACAAAGTAGAAGTGATGAAAGGAGAGAAGAGTATATGGAGAAAAAGAGAGAGGTTAAGAGAATGGTGAAGCAATGTAAAAAGAGAGCAAATGAAAGAGTGGGTGAGATGTTATCAATAAATTTTGTTGAAAATAAGAAAAAGTTTTGGAGTGAGATTAACAAGTTAAGGAAGCCTAGAGAACAAATGGATTAGTCAGTTAAAAATAGGAGAGGAGAGTTATTAAATGGAGAGTTAGAGCTCTGTATTGGGAAGATGGAGGGAATATTTTGAGGAATTGTTAAATGTTGATGAAGATAGGGAAGCTGTGATTTCGTGTATAGGGCATGGAGGAATAATATCTTGTAGGAGTGAGGAAGAGCCAGTTGTGAGTGTGGGGGAAGTTCGTGAGGCAGTAGGTAAAATGAAAGGGGTAAGGCAGCCGGGATTGATGGGATAAAGATAGAAATGTTAAAAGCAGGTAGGGATATAGTTTTGGAGTGGTTGGTGCAATTATTTAATAAATGTATGGAAGAGGGTAAGGTACCTAGGGATTGGCAGAGAGCATGCATAGTTCCTTTGTATAAAGGCAAAGGGGACAAAAGAGAGTGCAAAAATTATAGAGGGATAAATCTGTTGAGTATACCTGGTAAAGTGTATGGTAGAGTTGTTATTGAAAGAATTAAGAGTAAGACGGAGAATAGGATAGCAGATGAACAAGGAGGCTTCGGGAAAGGAAGGGGGTGTGTGGACCAGGTGTTTACAGTGAAACATATAAGTGAACAGTATTTAGATAAGGCTAAAGAGGTTTTTGTGGCATTTATGGATTTGGAAAAGGCGTATGACAGGGTGGATAGGGGGCCAATGTGGCAGATGTTGCAGGTGTATGGTGTAGGAGGTAGGTTACTGAAAGCAGTGAAGAGTTTTTACGAGGATAGTGAGGCTCAAGTTAAAGTATGTAGGAAAGAGTGAGATTATTTCCCAGTAAAAGTAGGCCTTAGACAAGGATGTATGATGTCACCGTGGTTGTTTAATATATTTATAGATGGGGTTGTAAGAGAAGTAAATGCGAGGGTCTTGGCAAGAGGCGTGGAGTTAAAAGATAAAGAATCACACATAAAGTGGGAGTTGTCACAGTTGCTCTTTGCTGATGACACTGTGCTCTTGGGAGATTCTGAAGAGAAGTTGCAGAGGTTGGTGGATGAATTTGGTAGGGTATGCAAAAGAAGAAAATTAAAAGTGAATACAGGAAAGAATAAGGTTATGAGGATAACAAAAAGATTAGGTGATGAAAGATTGGATATCAGATTGGAGGAAGAGAGTATGGAGGAGGTGAATGTATTCAGATATTTGGGAGTGGACGTGTCAGCGGATGGGTCTATGAAAGATGAGGTGAATCATAGAATTGATGAGGGGAAAAGGGTGAGCGGTGCACTTAGGAGTCTGTGGAGACAAGGAACTTTGTCCTTGGAGGCAAAGAGGGGAATGTATGAGAGTATAGTTTTACCAACACTCTTATATGGGTGCAAAGCATGGGTGATAAATGTTGCAGCGAGGAGAAGGCTGGAGGCAGTGGAGATGTCATGTCTGAAGGCAATGTGTGGTGTGAATATAATGCAGAGAATTCGTAGTTTGGAAGTTAGGAGGAGGTGCGGGATTACCAAAACTGTTGTCCAGAGGGCTGAGGAAGGGTTGTTGAGGTGGTTCAGACATGTAGAGAGAATAGAACGAAACAGAATGACTTCAAGAGTGTATCAGTCTGTAGTGGAAGGAAGGCAGGGGAGGGGTCGGCCGAGGAATGGTTGGAGAGAGGGGGTAAAGGAGGTTTTGTGTGCGAGGGACTTGGACTTCCAGCAGGCATGTGTGAGCGTGTTTGATAGGAGTGAATGGAGACAAATGGTTTTTAATACTTGACGTGCTGTTGGAGTATGAGCAAAGTAACATTTATGAAGGGATTCAGGGAAACCGGCAAGCCGGACTTGAGTCCTGGAGATGGGAAGTACAGTGTCTGCACTCTGAAGGAGGGGTGTTAATGTTGCAGTTTAAAAACTGTAGTGTAAAGCACCCTTTTGGCAAGACAGTAATGGAGTAAATGATGGTGAAAGTTTTTCTTTTTCGGGCCACCCTGCCTTGGTGGGAATCGGCCAGTATGTTAATAAAAAATAATATATATATATATATATATATATATATATATATATATATATATATATATATATATTATATATATAAACACTGATCTCTGGCTGAAGGAGACTCGAACCTACGAACCTTAGGACAAGGTACGCAGTGCTTTACCAATCTACCCACACTGGACAAAATACCTTGGCGTGTAGCTTACGCTACACGTTTGATCCAAGGCAGCCAGCTTTTAGGGAGAAGGCTTACAGCTTTTCATCTCATCCCCCTGCATGCATCAGCCTTACTAGATATTTGAACAATGCAAGGAATTCGCGAGAGCAGGCGAAACATACACAAACACTGATCTCTGGCTGAAGGAGACTCGAATCTACGAACCTTAGGACAAGGTACGCAGTGCTTTACCAATCTACCCACACTGGACAAAATACCTTGGCGTGTAGCTTGCGCTTCACGTTTGATCCAAGGCAGCCAGCTTTCAGGGAGAAGGCTTACAGCTTTTCATCTCATCCCCTGCACGCATCAGCCTTACTAGAGATCTGAACAATGCAAGGAATTCGCGAGAGCAGGCGAAATATACACACTGATCTCTGGCTGAAGGAGACTCGAACCTACGAACCTTAGGACAAGGTACGCAGTGCTTTGCCAATCTACCCGCACTGGACAAAATACCTTGGCGTATAGCTTGCGCTATACGTTTGATCCAAGGCAGCCAGCTTTCAGGGAGAAGGCTTACAGCTTTTCATCTCATCCCCTGCATGCATCAGCCTTACTAGAGATTTGAACAATGCAAGGAATTCGCGAGAGCAGGCGAAATATACACAAACACTGATCTCTGGCTGAAGGAGACTCGAACCTAAGAACCTTAGGACAAGGTACGCAGTGTTTTACCAATCTACCCACACTGGACAAAATACCTTGGCGTGTAGCTTGCGCTACACGTTTGATCCAAGGCAGCCAGCTTTCAGGGCGAAGGCTTACAGCTTTTCATCTCATCCCCTGCATGCATCAGCCTTACTAGAGATTTGAACAATGCAAGGAATTCGCGAGAGCATGCGAAATATACACAAACACTGATCTCTGACTGAAGGAGACTCGAACCTACATTGTTCAAATCTCTTGTAAGGCAGGGGATGAGATGAAAAGCTGTAAGTCTTCTCCCTGAAAGCTGGCTCCCTTGGATCAAACGTGTAGCACAAGCTACAGGCCAAGGGATTTTTGTCCAGTGTGGGTAGATTGATAAAGCACTGCGTACCTTGTCCTAAGGTTCGTAGGTTCGAGTCTCCTTCAGCCAGAGATCAGTGTTTGTGTATATTTCGCCTGCTCTCGCGAATTCCTTGATATATATTTATATATATATATATATATATATATATATATATATATATATATATATATATAGAGAGAGAGAGAGAGAGAGAGAGAGAGAGAGAGAGAGAGAGATCAAATCAAAGTTTTTTCTCTATAAGGATTACAATGCGGGGTTTACAGATTTTGGTTATTGTGTGGTTTATATGTAATAAAATGCTAATTACAGAGGGGGCCACTAGAAACCCCAGCATGGCTAGGCATTTCGGGCAAACTTAGATTAATTCTTAACCCTAAATTATTACAAATTGTCGAGTAAGTTAACTAAATACTAAGTGACTAAATACTAGTTTGTGAGTTTAGCAATGTGAATGCTTTTGTTTTGGCACAATACATAGTTTCTATATTGGAGTATCACAGGCAAACTTGTGACTAGTTAGGAATCTTTATTTTAAGATTAAGATACGTACTTCTGTGCTTATAGTCAAATGGGTGAGTGAGTGAGTGTAAGTGTGAACCACCAGGTGGTTTTTATGTAGTTAGTTGACGGGGTGTATCAGGGAGATAAGATGTTTTCTAACGGTAGTTTTGAAGGTGATGAATGTGTCTGCAGTTCTAGAGTTTTCAGGTAGGGTGTTCCAGATTTTAAGGCCTTTGACATACATTGAATTTTTGTAAAGGTTTAGGCAGACACGGGGAATGTCGTAGAGATGTTTTTGTCTGGTGTTATGCTTGTGGGTTCTGTCACAACTATCAAGAAAGCATTTTAGGTCAAGGTTAATATTGGATTTTAAGGTCCTGTATATGTAGATTGCACAGTAATAAGTGTGGATGTTCTGAACAGGGAGTAAGTTTAGATCTATATGAAGAGT